CCCCACCCCTCGATTTTTTTCTCACTGTTCCCTCTCTGTGACCGATTGGAGGGCCATGACACTATTTTTGATGATGAAATTGGCATTTTGTTTGTATTTAGGCATCTGTTTCCCATTTGTGTTGACAACAGAGCAGTTCTCCAAGGAGGCTTTGGAATATTTCCTTTGGCCCTCCATGTGAAAAAGGTCCCTGGCTCAGCTCTGAGGGGATTAATTTCTTGAGTTGGGCATTCTACTGATATGTCCCATCCCTCTCCACTGATGTGAGATTATTTCTAACCTCTATAACATAAGGGGCACCTACATTTATTCTATTGGCTTCCCACATGATTCTTCTAAGACAATGTTGATGTTGCTATCCCAAAGCCTTGAAATGGCATTGCCACATTATCCAAGTTTCAGCAGAATGAACAAACATGGGGAGAGCCATTGTCCACTAGACTTTGTGCTTAGTGTTGGGTCTGATATAACAATTCTCAAACTCAAGGATATAATTTATCATAGGCTGAACTAACACATTGGATTTGGTAATGTACTTCTTCACTCAAGTAGCTTTTTAGAATCGATAACTTCCAAGAGATGGGGAGCAAGTGATGATGTACAACAATTCGCCATGAGGCTCACTTGAAGGCATTACTTTTGATACAGTTAAGTATATACCAAGGGTGTTTCAGTTCTGTATTGTTTCATACAAATCATTCTCTTCAGTTTTTGTTTTGAAGATCCTAATTCAAAATTCATTCATTAGGATATTTGACTTTACTTATTGGAAATGATCTGTATAAGTATTTCAGCCTCACAATGAGCACAAACTGCTTTCAATGAGCTCATGTTTGAAGAATGCAACTTGGGCAAGGTACCAGAAGCATGCAAGGAAGAACAGCATAACAGTCTTCAGTCTGAAAAAGGGCTACTTTTACATAATTAATGGCAGACAGAAAGTCAACCCAGGACACAGTTTTGATACGTGTCTCAGTAGCACAGCAAAATAATCAGTGTTGTGAAAGGTATGCTTCAGATGCAGAAAGAAGTATTTCTTTATACAGAATGGGATCGGCAGCTGGAATGGATTGTATAGAATGGCCGTATTTTGGAAGAAGTTAATCAAGTAAGCCAAAGTCCACCTTCAGATCTACCTTGTGAAGATACCATCCTTGCTCAAGTGATGTTTTTGGAGGAATTGTTACATCAACTTTGATTAGTGTCATTTTATTTCCATATTACATGCCATTTTAAAAAAACAAGACAGTTTGAATCAAATTTGTTGGTTTAAATGTTTTAAACTGGGAAAACCTCAATGTGGCTATTTAAAGCTGAAGGCCTCTGTTGTGATCCGGATGCCCTCCAGATATTTTTTCCCTCTGGTGTTCAACACAATAGTCTGGTTTCCCTAGGTAGGCAGTTGCTTCCTGCCAGCTGAAATATGACCTTTCGAACACAGTATGAAGGACATATGATGTACTGGGCATCTTTGCAGTGGAAAGGCTGTGGATTTCACCTGTAACTGAAACTGGTGGAAAATTATTATTTATGAACAGACAGAATCAATTAATAAGCAGGATAAGTACAGTAATGTAATTCTTGTTTTCTTGCTAGTTCTTGAAAGATATGTCAAAACAATAGTCCTGAAGTTCTATGAATTCTTCAGCTTCTGAATCAAATATATGCAAAAAAAGTGAGAAAGTCAATATAATCTTCTTTTATCTCAGACCCACATAAACAATGGCAGGAAAGTTTATGAACACCCATTTTCTGATGCCAGATAATGTAGAAGGAAGATTTTAAAAAATTTTCTTCCATTTAATCAGTTATTGACTGAAAATTGATGTCTTTTAAATATCACTTTATATGTCAAATAAAATCATTGTAGATCCTTGGAATCTGAATGACCACTGCACGTTCTAAACAAAGGACACGTGTGAGATCCAGTTCAGACAACACCTACAAGCATCAGAGTCCATAAACATACATAAGTGATTGCTTGGTGATCCAAGTTAATAATTCCCATCACCTGGACAACCTCAAGATCTACTGTCCTTTCATTAAGCAATATGACTGGCTTTTTCCTAAATGAAATAGATATGCTAAATAGAATTCTTTCTGGGGTTGTGGGACATTTGCTGTTTCAGTTGTTGGTGTTTGTCCAACTGATGACACTCTTGCCTCTGAGAAGGTGGTTGTGGATTCAACTATCACTCTTGAGACTTGAGCGCAAGATTTAGGCTGATAATTCATTGCAGTACTATGGGAGTGCAGCACAGTTCATGAGCTTTCTTTCTGATGACATGTTAAACCGAGACATTGTCTGTCTTTTCCGATTTGTGTTAAAAATCCTGTGGCACTGTTTGAAGAATAATAGAGATGCTCTCCTTGATGTTCTGATCAATAGTTATCCCTCAAACATCACTAAAACAATCTTTCACATCATTTTCTCATTATTGTTTGGGGAGCTTGCTGTGTGTAAATCGATTGCAGCATTTTGTACATTAGGACAGTAACTACACTTCAAAAGATGCTTGGTTGATTGGAAAGCATCTTGGAACCGTAAGGGATCATAAAAGAGGCAAGGTAAATTCAAGTAATTTTCTTTTTCACATGGCGGAATGGAGACTATATCTGCTTTTTAGGATGAACACAGCTGTGCACAGTGAGAATAATTAGACCAGGTATGAGGGAGAATTATGTTTGAGATTAGAAGGTGAAGGTAGAGCAGAGAAGATGAGAAGAGCTCAAATTTGGACAAGTGTAAAGTTGGAGAGAGGTTGAAAGCTATCAGCAGAGCGAGAGGGTTGAAGCAGGGCCAGTGACTGGAGAAAGAGGCAAGCTCGAGTTGGATTCGAGACTTTTGGTAATTGAGGAGAGAGTATGAGGCTGAGATTAGGAAAATGAAATTTAGAGAGTAAATTGGAGGATGTTGGAGCTGGGATAGAGAGCAAAGGAAATGTTTGCATTGTTGCAATTGGCATATAGGAGCTTGGGGAAAGGGCAAGTGAGGAGACGAGTTGTCATGCTGTTTATACTTTATAAATTGAGAGACAGCAGTTAAGGGGCAACAGAGCAAGATCTAGCTGATGAGAGAGAACAAGTAACATGGGGTTGAGAGGAGAAATAGGGAGTACGGTCATTTTTAGTACCATATCACTTTTAAATTTAAAAAATAATTTATCTTTTAGTTTTGAGGGCTGTTGTTACTGCCATTTATCTTGAGCAATGTCAAGTAATTGTGGATATCTAATATCGCACCATTACTTCATTTAACACATCAATGAAACTCGATCAGCCTTTTACAATGTAACGTTTATGATTTACAGTGTGCATGTGGAATGTAACAAAATGTTTTCCTTAGTTAGTGGTTTATTCTTGGCTGGCAGGGTTCAATTAGATCATTGCCTGCTATGTATATACTGTTAGCTTTAATAAAGTTATTTGAGTAAGTAATTTAATTTAATATTTAGTACATTTTTTTGAATCTTCTCTCACTTCTTTTGACTCTTAAAGCTGGTAACTCCTGTCTGGCTGTGGTTTCATAAGTGCTGGTGTTTCAGACTTGCCGTTCTTCATGTCTGAGCCTAAACAGCAGTATTTTCGATCAGGTGGGTTGGAGCAGGCATCACAGCTGAGCTGTTTGTGCCCATTCCAGACATCCACTTGTGTGAACTTCCACCAAGTATCATTGGAGTGGAAGTCCTGGGAGAATTTATTTTTCTTCTTAAACTCCCACCATGTTGTGGCATAGACCTGGGATTACATCAAGTGTCTGTGTGGTTTATTGTCATGATGAAGCTAATCTTTTCAGTCGTAACTGTCTGCTAAATATTGTGTACTAAAATGTTGGCACAAGATTCTTGTCTGGATATTTAAAAGCCAAAAGTTGAATTCAAACTTTTTCCTTCTTTCTTTCTCCTCTTGCCCCTGCGTTGTCTGGCATTCTTGCATTCATGGCAGTCTCGCATGCCCTATCCCTCTACTTCACTGCCTCCATCTGTCTCTCAACCACATCTCTCCCCACTCTACAACCCCTCCCTCTCTCTGTCTTGCCCTACTCCTGTTTCTCACTCTACATCTCCCTCCTCCCTCCCTCTCTCTCTCCCTCCCAACTCTACGCCTTTCTCTTTGTCACTCCACAGCTCCCTTCTCAGCTTCTCTCTCTCCCTACACCTCCCTTCTCTATCTCTCTTGCTCTATACCTCCCTCCTTCACACTTTCACTCTCACTATACACCTCTTTCTTTGCTGTCACTCTGTACCTCCCTCCTCTCTAGCTCTCACTCTACACCTCCCTCCTCTCTGTCTCAGTCCACAGCTCCTCCTCTCTCTCTCACTCTGCAGCCCCCTTCTCTCTCTCTGTCTCTCTCTTGTTCTACATCTCCCTCCTCTATCTCGCTGTACAGCTGTCTCCTATCTCTCTCTGAAACATGTGAATCCCAACAGAACAAGAATAGACCACTTGGCCCTTCGAGCCTGCCCTCCCATTCAATAAGATCCTGGCTGATTGGATTTACACCTCATCTCTACCTTCCTGCATATCCTTAACATTCTTTCATCTCTTGATCATCAAGAAACAAAGTACCTGTATATCTACTGCCTTTTGAGGAGTGGCACTCCAAAGATTCTCAACCCTCTGAGAGCAATTTTTTTCCACATTTCTATTTTAAATGTCCTCCCCTGCCTTATTTTTAAACAATGACCCCTTGTTCTAGATTCTCCCAGCTTTAGCTACCCTACACCAGTCCACCAAATCATGTGTGTCATGTCCTCCCACCACCCCCCACTCAACACCTGCACTCCCCCAACTTCTTTGACACCGCCTCCTACCCCTCCCTTTCCAACCCTCACACCCTGTCTTCCCCCTTTCTCTCATAGCTTTCAGGGAAGGTATGTTTCATATCTGGACCAACACTAGAAGGGCAGAGAGTTATTGAGGCGCACTGGCTATACAAAACTCTCAAACATCTGTAAATCATGCAAATGACCTTCCTTCCCTTCTGTTTTTCTATGCAGGTGCTTTGTAATGGTCCAGGAACATGCGTGCCCCTCTGTGTATCTGCTCTGCTGCTCGGAATCCTCGGAATGAAGAAAGTGCTGATTATCTACGTAGAGAGCATCTGCCGCGTTGAAACCTTGTCTCTGTCAGGGAAGATACTGTACAATTTGTCAGATTACTTTTTTGTTCAGTGGTCAGTACTGCAGAAGAAATATCCCAAAGCAATCTACCTTGGCCGACTAGTTTGAACATCTCATGGGAGCTGGGACTAAGATTGTGTAGAAAGCATTTGTGCCCAGATGTCAGGAAGCAACAGCAATGCAGAATAAATGTACATTCCAGATATTGTTTGTTGGGTTTAATCTCTGTAAGGGGAGCATGTGTACTGAAAGAAAAAGTTCTAGGTAAACTTATGATATTGGGGATAATCTACTGGACTTAAATTTGTGGTCTTGGGACTGCTGCTGGGAAGTATTAGCCATGTACAATATGAGGGAATCAACTCCTATATAAACAGTCTTAAGGTTATTATAACTGTTGACTGCTTCACACATTTGGACTCTTTGTTTCACTATTTTGTCAGTGAACTAATTTTTAACAATACAAGAAGCCATTAGCTGCCAATTTAATTGATTAACCCCTTCTTCCCTTTATTGCTGTTCTTGAATGGCACTGTACACTAAATAAACCTGTGTTTAATTTACATTATACTTGATTCCTACAAATATTTTTCACATCAAAGGTTAGTATAGCAGTGCACTTTATTCCCAGCCAGAAGCCATTTGAACTTTTCTCATTTGAAGAACATTTTTTCTTTTTTGAGTTGTCAAGTGTTCACGTTATGAGGTACATTCACTATCGTAGTCTTTCTTCATACAATGTTTTCCAAATTCCAAAATTAAAACCAAAGACAATAGAAATGTTGGCACATTTTGTATGTACACATCAATTTTATTTGAAGTATGTTAATGACTTTTGGAATTGCATGGTCTGGTGTTATTTTATCTTAATCTTCATTAGTTTACGGATTCTGTTCATTCCCGTATTTACTTCCCTCTCTGCTAGTCCTTTCTTTCCTCCTGAGCTTTATATTGTCATCTAACATTGCTTTTGATTCTCATTTCTCCCACTGTACCTGTTAAAAGAAGTTTGATTATTTCCCAATTATCGATGACTAGATTGAAAATGTGGGGACACGTTCCCTGCAATGACAAATAATTGAGGTTCTGGTGTTAAAAGAAAGCAGGGCTTCTGTTTGTTTGTACCTTTCACATCCTCAGGACATTTTGAAGTGATTTGTCACAAATTAAGTATGTTTCAAATGTAGTCATTGCTGCAGTATAGAAAGCAAGAAGTCAGTCCTGGGTGATTGAATATTTGACTGTTTCTGATTCAGACTGCAGCTTAGTAATCTAAGAGAAATAATAAGAAGCTACTTCAAGGAGAGAGTCGTTCTTATCTAATGCAAAGTCTCGTGCTAAAGTTAATTCAGAATCTGTAGCATTTGGGTTTGAGAGGTAATATTTGGGACTGTGTAAATAGCACCTGCTATAAGGATGACTTAAGAGAACAGATGAACGAGAGACTTGGAGAAAGAATGCTCAGGCTTCAACACTGTAAAACCTATTCATGTGAGCCATATACAGTTCTACAATTTATAATAAACTAGTTGTTGCTTGAACATACCAATGACTCAATCATTCCAAAGCTAGACTAACCAGCACACTACAGGTTGTCCTGGTTAAGAAATTTGTCTAAGACTTGGCAGCAAGTCAAATACCATAATATCAATGTGTAGAAATGCAACAATAATTCCTATGCAGCTGCCAGTCTCCATTCTTTCATATTGTTGCCATGTTATTGTAATGGTCTTTTAAATGAATTGATGTGTAGATTCCTACCCTGACCTCAATATGTCATGTTTATTTTCTGTCAAATGTACACTGCATTTATTTGCATTCTGAATTGATTTTACCACAGACAAGAATGTAACAGGTGGGCCCTTTCTCCTGGAGCATCGCAAAAGCAGTTTGTCTCATGAATCCTGAATTATGCCTACTGCATATGCAGTCTCGCCTTCACAGAGGTGATTGTTTCAATAGACATGCCACTGAGGACAAACCCTCTGCAGTGACTCTGACGGTCTTCACTGAAGAGATATTTGCCTACTTATTATGTGCCCCTCAACCAGATCTGGAAAGCACCAAGAATAGGTCCATGGACAAAATGACGCAGGAGGTCCCCATCATTACAGGAGCAAGGGGGAGCACCTCAGACTCAGAAGGGGAGGGACCCCTATAAGGCCCATGGGGAATCACAAATTAATCTCCCTGTGGAATGCATTGAGTATGATTTCCCTTGTAACAGGCAATTGCCTGTCCAGCTGGAACTCATCACCTGAACCCTTTGGGGGCCCTTTTGTGGCACAGTAGTATGTCCTAATTGTGGACTGGGAGGCTTGGGTTCAAGTCCTACCCACTCCAGAGGTGTTAATAACATCTCTGAACTGGATGATTAGAAAAACAGGTTTAAAAAACACACTATAAAGCAGAGGTAGTAGTAACCCCAGAGATAGTTGTAACCCCACTGTGAAGCCGCCCATTTCTGAAGGAGGATCCCAACCCGAAATGTCAACTTTCCTGCTCCTCTGATGCTGCCTGGCCTGCTATGTTCCTCCAGCTCCACACTGTGTTAACGCTATAAAACAGAGCCAGGGATGGATCTGCAGATCTGTCTGTCCCGAGCTGGATCTAGTTTGCGTATGCCATGAGTAGCAGTTCTATTTTGGTGTTCAACAATAAATGATGTTCCTTCCCAGTCAGGCTTCCTGTGTTATTACATCTCGTGTCATAATGGTGGCATCTCAAGCTCTGGGCTTGAGCCCAAACTAGGATTTCTTAGCAAGGGAAGGTCCATTTGTAACATTGCATAAACACTGAGTATGAGGTTATAAATCTTCCCACAATGCCAGATGGAAAAGCCTCACTTCAAAGACAGTGGGAAACCACTGCAGTAATTTGCCCTTAAACATGGGCCATTCCACATAAAGAAAAGACAGAAAATGAGAAGAAGAAATATTGAAAAAGATGGAGAAAAAGCAGGTGATTGATGTTGAAATATATAGCTCCATTGTGAAGTTGCAACAACAATAATGGCCTCAATAAATTGTTTGTGATTCCATGGTGAATGATTGGCATTTAATACCTTAAAAATTGTATGACTGATCAGCATGAAGAAGGGAAAAGCAGCAAAACCAGGATATAGTTTCCTGCAAAGGAGCACCTGTTGCAAAGTTAGTTCTGCTGGAAATAATTATGTGGTTTTTATTAAAGTATCACAACAAATTCTCTGATCAGCAAAGTTTCTATAAAAGTGCAATGCTTAGCTGTGCGATTCTATTGAGTGCATCAGTGCCTGTTTAAAAATAGCAGAGGGTAATGAAATGTGAATGCATTAGATAATCATGGGATCATTGTTGATTGGAAAATATGACATCTTGTACCCTGTCATGCCTTCAAAGCAATGTTCCATGAAGTGGCATCCGTTTGCCTTCCCAAGCCCATACACAAGCTTGTGCACTTTGCATTGGCAGCACCAGCTGAATGTTGTTAAGCGTTTCCAAAATAAAATGTTCGTGGTTAGCAGCTGCCTCCTCTTTACCGTGGACGTGCAATCCTTTACACATTCAGACCCCATCAGGGTCATCTCAGGGCTCTCCGCTTCTTCCTGGAAAAAAGGTGTGAATCATCCTCCACTCATCACCATCCTGATCCATCTGGCCAAGTTCGTTCTCACTCTATGCAACTTCTCCTTTAAATCCTCTCACTTTCTTCAAATCAAAGCTGTTGCCATGTGTGCCTGCATGGGACCCACTTATGCCTGTCTCTGTGTAGGGCACGTGGAACATTCTTTGTTCCAGTCCTAATTGGGCCCCACCCCACAACTCTTTGTCCACTACATCAATGACATAATCGGTACTGCTTTCCCCCCTCATCTGGAATTGGAAAAATTTATCAATTTTAGTTCCCATTTCCACCTTGCCCCCACCTTCACCTGGTCTATCTCTGATTCCTCCCTTCCCTTCCTTGACATCTGTGGTCCCATTTCAGGGGAAAGGCTGGTCACCAGTATCCACCGACTCGAATAGTTACTTGGACTATACATTCTCAACCCCTGCTTCCTGTAAGGGTTCCGTCCCATTCCCCCAGTTTCTCTGTTTCCATTGCATCTGCTCTGATGATACTCAGAGATGTCCACCTTTTTCCTGAACCTATGATTCCCCGCAGCCATGGTCAACCCATATGTTGTAGGTCTATTGCAGTGTTCTAGTGAGCATCAGCACAAGCTCAAAGAATGGCATCTCATTTTCCACTTGGGGCTCTGCAGCATCTAAGAAACAACATTGAGTTCCATAACTTTAGAGCCTGATTCCATCTGTCCCTACAACCTGGTCCTGTCATGACATGGGTTGCCTTCAGCACAGCCAACCCATTCTCAGCTCTCATTATCACTTATTCAGCTTCTCTTCTGTTCTTGCTGACTATCAATAAACCCCTTATTTGCCTACCCCTTTCATATCTCTGACTCTCTCTTGGCTCTATCTCCACCTATCCACTCACCGCCCCGTACCCTGCAACCTCATCTAAATGCCACTTTTTCTGAGCTGCTATCAATCCTAATGAAGAGTCACTGGACTTGGAACGTTAACTCTGCTTTCTTCCCACAGATGCTGCCAGCCCTGCTGAGTTTTGTCAGCAATTTCTGTTTTTGTTCCAAAATATGATCACCTATTATGCAGCTTATTTATATAGGTTTTGGGGGCTTTTTAAAATTAATATTTTGCTGTTGAGGGTAATTTGCCATGCTATATCTAGGATCATTAAACTGAATTTTCATACCGATTTCTAAATTTGGATTCTTATTTTCAGATTACAGTTTTAATTTTAAAATAGGTAGAAAATTGTTAAGGAACAAATTGGTCAGTGGTAAATTCAGAAAAATTGGTACAAAAATGTTTTGAATATCATCTAATCTAAAGAAAACAGGAAAAACTGCAAATGTAAATGCACAATTGTTTAGCGTAGAATTAAACAATACTGAAATATTCAACCTTTTGTACTCACACTAGTTCTTTGATACAGCAATTCAATTAGTCCCACTTTCCTGTAACTTTACATATTTTCCTTTTCAAGCCCATATCAGGTTCACTTTTGAAATTTTCTATTGAATTTGCTTCCATTACCTTAACAGGCAGTGAATTCTAGATCATAAACACTCATTGTTTGGAAAATGTTCTCCTGCCTTCTTACTCGTTATTTTGACAATTATTCTGTGTCCAAGATTCATTTAAAAAAAGTTACAGACTACCTAGAATATTTTGTCTTAACATAATGCCCTAATCTTGTTTTTCAGGACATTTCAAGGATTACAATCTTAGAAATGTTTAAACCCTTTATGAATAGTTTCTTTATGCTGAATTTTAATTCAGTGGGCGATGAATGTCAGACTAGACTGCTCTGAGGGAATCAAGGGTTAGAATAACAATAACTTTGAAACTGAATAGGATGGGTAGTTGAGAACAAAACCTATTAAGGGTGTAGGGAGTGAATCACATATCTTGCTTGATTATAAACAAATTTGCTGTAATATTCTTCCACCCTGTACATTCCTAAAGTCTTGTGACCAACATTCATTTGTTACAGCCTTTCTCCTGAGTGAAACTGCTTTAGAGCCTACATATAAAGTGTCTGTGTGGGAATTGTGCAATCTGAAGGTCAAGCAACTGTTAGTCATTATGGTCATTCTATTTCTCTGAAGGAGGATCTTCATATCTGAGTCCTTTGGCTTTTCTCCTTCCCCTGAATACCTTTTGAAGTAGGTGGTTCTTGGAATGTAATACATTCCAATGGCTATGATTTATAAGAAGGAAAACTATCTACTTTTTGAAATATTGATATGTGTTATAATTCTTCTCTTACCTAGGTTGATCAAGCTTAACATATGAAAAACTCTTCTTTAGAGAAGCAGGAACTGCACTAGAGGCGATATTCCCATTTCCAAGACTGTTCAAATTATTCACTTTTTAGAACTTCAGCCTAAAGACACTCCATTGAAGTTGTAAAATTTTATTTATCGGTAGAAGGCATTTGGCCCATTATATTTATACTGATTTTGACAAAGCAAATCAGAATTAATCACTTAATGCTGTAATTTGAATGAAAGTAAGGTACTGCAGTTGCTGGTGATCCAAAATAAAAACAGAAATTGTTGGAGTTCCAAAGAAGCATATCAGATCAAAATGTTAACTTTGTTTCTCTCTCCACAATTACTGCCGGGCTTGTTGAGTTTCTCCAGCATTTTCTGCTGTTATTTTGGATCTGCTTTAAATATTTATCTACTCTCTCCTTAAAGGAGACAGTAGACTTTGCCTCAACCAGTAGTTGTAAAAAAGCAGTTCAGACTACTTGCTACAATGGAGCCATTTGTGCAGCATTTTACTCAGTTAAAGGACAAACAGGCTAATTAAAAAAAACAAGAATGAACTTGTATTTAAATGACACCTAAATATTTTAAAGACCATGTATAGCATTATGTCCCAGATAATCCCAATATTAGTGATGGTATTTAGATGACAAAGACTACTTATATTTAAAAATATATATCTTAAATTCATAAATTGTGGCCTCAGGTTCAAATTCAACTTAATCTTTTTAGGCTGAAGTTCTGTAATGAAGTATGTGGACTGCCTCAATGCAACTCTAATGGGATAATATTTAGGACCGGCTCAGAATTGATCTAGAGCTGTATACAACACTACGCAATAGTAAAAAGAATTCATATCATTGCAAATAGCACTGAACTTCTGAATGTTGGATAGCTCTGCAAAAGCTTACAGGCTGG